TGTTCAATCATGTGATGTTTTCTCAAGATCAAAAACTCCCTATCATTGACCTTACAAACTTCTTCAACCATTACCTATTCCAAAACCATGATGGTCTTCTATTTCTATAGATTTTATCACAGATCTTTCAATCTTAGGTTTGTATGATTCTATATTTATAATAATAGATTATTTTATAAAGATGCCATATTTATATTATGTAAAAAATTTATCACAAGTAAAGAAACAATCAAGCTTTTTTTTATAATATTTATTGATATCATAGATTATTTAAAGATATTATATTAGATGGAAGGACTCAATTCATATCAAGATTTTAGAGAATCTTTTTTAAGATTCTAAAAATAGATATAAAGCTATCTTTGGCCTTTTATCCTCAAACTGATGGATAAACAGAGCATACAAACCAAATTTTGGACCAATACTTAAGATATACCATCAATTATCAAAAAAACAATTGAAAAATCCTCTTGCCATTGGTAGAATTTGCTTATAATAATATGATGCATTCTTTTATGTAATAAACATCTTTATTTGCCAATTATGGTTATCATCTTTAATTTGATATTTTTGAATTTTCAAAAGTTGATAATCTTGTGACAAAAGATTTGAAAAATCATTTATTTGAGCTACATGCAACAATGAAGGAGCAATTAAAGAAGCTCAAGAATGACAAAAGATCAACTTGGATATCTATCAAAAGAAATAACCATAATTTAATGTAGGTAACAAGGCATGGTTACTTTGTTGTAATATCAAGACTACTTATCTTTGTCATAAATTGGACTACTGCAGGCTTGGACTTTTTTCTATTTGTGGACAAATCAATCCAGTTGCTTATCAATTATATCTATCGAAGTCAATGAAGATCCATCATGGCTTCCATATATCTCTTCTTGAACTATACAAGAGTGTGAATATATCAAGAAGAAGACAAACTCTACTTTCTCCTGTAGAAGTAGATAATAATAAAGAGTTTGAAGTGGAAGAAAGTAGACTTAAGGCTATGACAAAATAAATTGGAATATCTTATCCATTGGCACGAATATGATATTAGTGAAGGTACATAGAAGCCAACAAAGAATCTTGCAAATGCAACAAAGAAGTTGGAGGATTTTCATCAACGACTTCCATTAAAATTAAAATAAAGATCTTTTTTATAAAAGAAACAAGATTTAGACAAAATAATATTCTACTTTCTATCCTTGTTGTAGCTACTTTATATTTGTAATACTAAAAAGATGGAGAATCAATAACCAACATATTTGACTCAAAAGCCTTTATTTTTTGATCTACCAGATAAGACATTACAATTGTCACAATTTTTAAGATGATGCAATAGAAATAAAGATCCTTAAGAATGACATATTTTTCCTCAAATAGATGGCGAGATATAATGCATTTGATATTATAACCTTAGAAGGAACTTCTGATGTTTGGTGATTTTACTAGAGATAAGAACAACTCTTGATGGTGTTCTAAATATTTTATTTGAAGGAAGTTATGAAGGTTTCAAAAATAATCAAATAATTGGATGGTCTTTCCACCTTGATATGGGACACTATGAATGGTTGAGAGGTCTTATCAACCATCTTCAAAGAAAACAAAGATCAAAATATATAACAAATATAATTCATCCCATCTTTGATTTTTTCAACATATGATGACCGCTATTTATGAAACTTGTCTTTAGAAGGGAGAAGATGATAATGTCACAAACATACACATGTAAACCAATAATTACCTATATAATTAGATAAAAATAAATAAAAATAGATTATCAATGGTTGTATATTTTTACATACTTTTATCTAAAAATGGTTATATAATATCTTTTATAGAAGCTTTTTAAAAGCTTTGTAGATATTACTTTGACTTTATAGGTGTCTATAATTGATTTTTTAGGTTAACAACGTGGTCAACAAGTTGGCCATGTATCACATATGTTGGTAGCTAAAAGAACAAGCTAATTATGTAGCTCACACATAAAAAACTTGCCTAGTAAGCTAAAGCATATGTCTTACAAAGTCAATATATATTAGAGGTCCTATAGAACATCGCTACATAGCTCCTAGTTAGATAATATATATAGAGGGAAAAGTGAAGCCCTCTTCACTCTTGTCAACTCTTTTCTTGCTTCTAGTATAGATTCAAGACTCTCTAGTTTCTTTGTCTTTTGGCAATAGCCATTTCAGTTTCTTTTTAATATATATATTACTTTATTTTTATGTTGTCACTTTTCTTTTGATACATATTTTTTAGGCTTATGTATCTTTTTTAGTTCATATCCTTGACATCTATATGCAAGTGAAATATACAATAATAACATCTCATCTTCTCTAATATAATAGATTCATACAATATATCAAGTACGCATTATGATCTTTGATAAAAAAAAATAAAATCATGGCATACTTTATTATATGCCATCATCTTTGCACATAAAACCAATGGCCATATCATCACATAATTTTTACTATTTAAATTTTTATATAGATGCAAATTGAGGCTAGCTATAGCCTTGTACAATATTAGCATTTGGATTGCAAAACTTGATGACCTAAAAGAACATGTAGACATGTTGATGATCAAAAGACAATGTCTTAGCTAGGTAATAAATTGCAATATTATAAAAGCCTAGCTTTTGCAAAAAGATACTTGGTTTACAAAAAAATTATGTACGTACAATCTTTCTACAAGATCATTTTTTTTTTTTTTTTTTTTTATTTTTTATCAAGCTAACAAAAAAGCCATGTACATATGGCCTTTTTCCATTCAAGATTAGGTGGCCTATTGCATGAAGTAGTATTATGAATGTAAGGATAAATTTAGGACATGTTATATTGTGCCATACATGATTATAAGTCTTCATATACATGAGTGCAAATTTTATGTAAAGCCTACTAAATACAAGATCCTACAAGTATCATTCTTTACAGCTAGCTTCAATTTCATCTAATACAATCTAAAAGCCAATTTAATACAAATCAATCTTCTAAAGCAAGATGTCCCATAGAAATTTATAGAAATAATGTAATCTTACAGTTAAATAGCACTATGTATTGTTGCATATATCATGTCAATATTGATATGCATAGTGGCAAGGTCATACATCTATCCTATAAAGAGGGAGGAAGGGATAGCTTAAGACATAGAAAGATAAGATTTAGCTTGGTCATAATCATTTCTTTATCTATTAGCTTGCATTATCATCCTATTTAGTCAGACCACAAAAATCATGTTTGGATTTTTTATATCATGAATGATGAATAGGAACTTGAAAAAACAAGTATTCAAGAGGTCATTCCATATCATTCTTGTGACTAGGATTAAGTATTTGGATGGTTCTTTGCGTCTCATCAAAGTTTATCATAGGAAAGAACAAGTATCTTTAATTCAGTTCTACAAATGTCTTGTAGAGGTTTTTGGCCATTTATTTGTAAGTATGCAAGTTGCCACAAATATCTCTATTAAACTTTAATAAGATTAGTACTTAACTAAGCATTAGTTCTATATACATCCATGTCTATAAATAAAGGACAAACATACAAAGATAACAAATGGATGAAGTAAAAACATCAAAATGCAAACTTAAATACATGTTCTCTGAAATTGATATAAAATTGGATTAGATACAAATTGTATAATCAAAGTATGAAAAAAAAAAAAAAAAAAAAAAAACTTAAACAATTTTAAAGTATAAGATTTCAAAATAAATTTATAAATCTATTATTTCAAAATGTGACAAAAAAAATAATAAATGATAAAAATATAATTTATTTGATCCTTGGTATATTTAATAAATTATTTAAAGATAAATTTGTTGTAAAAGTATTAGAGTCACTTCTTATTATAGTAATAATTTTGATATCACATCATATTTAATAATTTAAATATTATCAAGTTATTAATTTTTTTTTAATTAAATCTATTTTTATGATCACTCATGTAGATTTATACATAATCTGATGTTGATATTGTTCATTTTTACATGCTATAATAACATAATTTATTTACAACAATTTATAAAAAAAATTAAGTGCAAATAAATTTTATAAGGAACTACAATAATACAATAAATGATTAATTTAGAAGTACCATTAGAGTTATGTATATATATCATTATTAATTTGGTCCAATCATTTACTAAATCAATCTACCTATCTTAACCATCATCAAGAAATTCTTCACTTCTAGATGAACATTGGTTGAAAACTAGTGAAAAAATAATTGGATCTATAAACAATGATGATGGGTGGGTCGAGTTTGTAAATGCCTTGGTCAATTTAACAATTCCCATATATACCCCCTACACTGTAATTAAGTGTAGTATTAAAAAAAAAAATGTTGTTACTAAATTTATTATTAGTCAAGATGGAACATGGTATAATTTATTTATTTATACTAAAATAAATATGCAATTCCCAAGGGAACAAATCCAAAGATTGACCAACTCAAGTAAAACCAGTGCATTGGAAAGACATATCTCCACCACCTTTTTCCACAATCCATCCCATCTCTGTAGATTCAACATGCGTTAAGAAATTCCGTGTCAACGAATTTCATTGGCAAAGGACCCACAACTTTCCAAAATACGAACGTGGCGCAGTCAGAACAGGGAAACAACGTCACCGTGTTCATCGACGATGTAATTCATCCATCCATGCCCGTCGAAAGCGGTAATAGACCATGCACGGTAACCGCCTTCCATCGAAGACATTAGCGATCCTTCTTCTTTGACTGGTCCCGTGACTCATCTCGCTGACATGGCGCCCCCTGATTCGCAACCACCACCCACACCCCCACGAACTACAGTCACTACCCGTTCTTCGGTCTGCCCACATCTTTCATCGTGGATGAGTCCACTCAGCAGATCTAGGTATTTTCTGGATTATTTGTTTACGTAGATTCCACAAGTTCCGCTACTTCGGAGATCTTCATGGACCCCCTCCTCGTGTGTGCCCGCCTCTTCAACCTCTGTGCCGAGGACTGGAGTGAGTTCCAGCCACAGCCGAAATAGGCCCCGCATTTGTTGTTCTTCGAGGTCGACGCAGGGCAGCTGTTGTTCGACACCGAGTGCTGGATCGACCCCCCTTCCGGTACAGTAGTCCTCGTTGTTATCGTTTTTTGGACATCGCGGGTTTTGACTGTGTGTTGGAAGTGTATTGAGTTTGGACCACAGGTGGGTTTTCAGATCTGTTGTGTGGCGGGTGGAGAAGAGTTTTGCGGAGGAGATGATGAGGAAGGAGTAGTTCATGTCTGTCGTAGAGATGCTTGCGGTTGCTCTTTCGTTACAACTCTATGTTGCTTTGGAGGTTCGGACTTTGGGTTGCCACGTAGTCAATGGAAGGGGGAGGGGATTGGAGTTTGGGGTTTAATGGGCTGTGTCGATGAATGGACTTGGGGTTTGAAGGTTGTGGATCATGTTTAACGGAATGTGTCCGAGGGAGAGAGATTTCGTTTTGTTTTCCCCTTTTTAAAGTTGGAGATGCGATTGAAGTTAGAGCTGGACAGGCTGTTCGGTTTTGATGATGTGTTCAAAGCGTTTTGTTTTATCAAGATCCACGGGCAATGGATAGATCTTTGTGAGCTCATTGTTTGTTTTGTTTGTTCTGTTCTCTCAGGTGTTTGAGCCCCAGTGGTTTTAACCATTATCTTGGTGTTCGGTGTGCTTAAACTCTCTGCTGTCGACACGGAGTTTTGTGGTTTTACTTCTCGGAGTGTTAAGCGCTCACGAAACCGGAAGGGGTCTGTCTTGAGTAAAGTCGGTTAAAGATGGGGGGAGGTTTCCGTGTCCTGCACTTGGTTCGACCATTTCTGTCAGTTTTGCCTGAGGTTCAGACTGCAGAGCGGAGGGTTCCTTTTAGGGAGAAGGTTATGTACACGGTAGTATCCCTTTTTATCTTTCTTGTTTGCAGTCAGCTGCCTTTGTATGGTATCCATTCAGCCACTGGATCAGATCCATTCTACTGGATGAGAGTTATCCTTGCTTCCAACCGAGGAACCGTGATGGAGCTGGGTATCACACCCATTGTTACGTCAGGGCTCGTTATGCAACTTTTGGCTGGATCGAAGCTCATTGAGGTTGACAACAGTGTTAGGGAGGACAGAGCCCTCTTGTAAGTGATTATGTCTTCCATTTGAACTCTTTGAAATACTTCTTGCTATTTGTACATCCCTGTTGGTGTTCCCATTGAGCTTATTTTGAGACCACACCAGAACGTTTAGTTGCCTTATGCTTTTAGAACTATTTATATTACATTACTTATTTGTGTCGCGATGATAAACCTTTAAACTCATATTTGTAAATTTCGAATGTCGTGAAGGAATGGTGCTCAGAAGCTCCTTGGTGTTTTGATCACTATTGGAGAGGCAGTCGCGTACGTTCTGTCCGGCATGTATGGCGATGTTCGTGATCTCGGTGCTGGAAACGCAATTCTGATTATCATCCAGCTGTTCTTCGCCGGAATTATTGTTATCTGTCTGGATGAGTTGTTACAGAAGGGTTATGGGCTTGGGTCAGGAATTTCTCTGTTCATCGCCACGAATATCTGGTAAGCTATTTTTATATATTCGAAAAAGGTTCACGTACAAATAGGATAACAAACTCTGCTAGGTTGTGGATTTAATGTACAAAGATGAATGCTACGTACTTTTTTAATCTTCACATTTAGATCAAGTCAATATTGTAGTCAGCGCAGCAATTACATTTTATTTAGGTACACGTAGTCCTGGTCCTCTGATTTACTTAGTGAACTGATCAAGGGAATCTGCTAATGTTGATTTCTCGCAGTGAAAACATCATCTGGAAGGCATTTAGCCCAACTACTATCAACAGTGGTCGTGGAGCTGAGTTCGAGGGCGCTGTTATTGCTCTCTTCCACCTTCTTTTCACAAGGGCAGACAAGACAAGAGCTCTTAAGGAGGCATTCTACCGACAGAATCTTCCCAATGTGACCAATTTGTTGGCAACTGTCGTTGTTTTCCTCATTGTCATCTACTTCCAAGGATTCAGGGTGGTTCTTCCAGTACGCTCCAAGAGTGCCCGCGGTCAACAAGGATCTTACCCTATTAAGTTGTTCTACACCTCCAACATGCCCATCATTCTCCAGAGCGCCCTTGTCTCCAACTTGTACTTCATTTCACAGGTTCGCCTCTCTGTTCTTGTTGACTGTCGCATTCGTGTCAAGTAATTCTGAAAGACGTGTCTACTCACTTGCTTTTGTTTGTGTGTTCCAGCTATTGTTCAAGAGATACAGCAACAATTTCGTTGTGAATCTTCTTGGAAAGTGGAAGGAGTCTGAGTACTCGTCGAGTGGTCAGCTCATCCCAGTTGGAGGACTTGTCTACTACATCAGTCCCCCAACAAGGTATTGCCTATTACCTGAGTACCCGTCACAGTACAGACTAGTGGATTGTGTGTAGTTTCTGCACTTCATCACTGTGACAACTCCCACTGATTCAGATAACTTTAGATTTAGTTTTGGTTAGTTCTGATTTGGGACTGCCTGCCTCCCGTCCATTTCGGTTGCGAGCGAGCATGTCACGCCTAAACAGTTTGTTGTTCCACTGTCTGAAGTTCGGATATGCGGGTCGTGATGTTGTTGTGATCAGTAAACCTCATATGTGCTTTGTTTATTCTTGCCAGCCTTGGAGATATCGTTGCCAACCCTTTCCACGCCATTTTCTACTTGACTTTCATGCTCACTGCTTGTGCTCTCTTCTCCAAGACCTGGATCGAAGTGTCAGGATCGTCTGCACGAGACGTTGCCAAGCAGCTCAAGGTATGTGACTCAAGGTTTCCCATCGCTTCACGGTACTACCCAGATAGGACACTGAAGGGATAAAAAACTTATGTTCAACTCAGCCACAGCCAATTTGAGTTGCTAATAAATGATAGATTGTTCCTTAGTCTCATGCTTCATTAACATTAAATGACATTGGTCTTCCACAGGAGCAACAAATGTTCATGCCAGGGCACCGTGAATCTAACCTCCAGAGGGAGTTGAATCGGTACATTCCCACTGCAGCTGCCTTTGGAGGTATCTGTATTGGAGCTTTGACCGTTGTCGCGGACTTCATGGGCGCAATTGGATCGGGAACCGGAATCCTTCTTGCCGTCACGATTATTTACCAATACTTCGAAACTTTTGACAAGGAGCGTGCCAGTGAACTTGGATTCTTCGGCTTTTAAATTCTCACACTCGTCAAAGAGATATTTATCATAGTGGTCCTAGGTTACCGAGTAGCTTGCTTTATTGGTTTCTCCTCTCCCATTAGGAGAACCTGAGAGGGTCATGTATTGAGTTACAGTTGTGTCCAAAGAGGGAAAGCTCGAGGGCTGTGGAAAAGCATACAGTACGAGAGTGGTACACTTCTGCTAGCCGTTCTGCCAAATTTTGCAGTTGGTTTACGCATAGTGATCATACCTGATCCTATCTTTTGCCCCTACGATTTGGTAGCCAAACCTTCATCAGTTGCATTTGCCAACTCTTCTGTGAGTTTAGGGCAATTTTGTAAATCAAAGCTGGCCTCACATAGTGTGAAACATTGTTTTTTTAAGCAGGAATTCCACTCGTTGTCATCACATCAAATTCATCCTCGCACTGAGACTGATAATTTAACAGATCACCCGAATTGGATAAAACTGGTCATTATGCACACGTTTTCCGTTCATTTACAAGTAATTATTATGATGAGCATTACCTAGGCGGCATACTGATCTGAAAATACGGTATATATATCATCGCGTGGAGTACACATTCCGTCCAGGGATGTAGCCCAGATGGTAGAGCGGGGGGTGTAGCTCAAATGGAAGAGCAGAGCGGATAGTGCAATGTAGAGCGCCGGTCTGTGAAATGCGGAGACGCACCATAGGGATTTGAAATTCCCGGAATGGGTGATTTTTGACGTTTTTGAGTGAGCATTAGATTTCTACAATTAGGGAAGCATTGCAACACTCAAGGAGATTGCTAAGCAACCACTTGCCATCATATTCGGAACTATAAACACAGATCCGATTTTCACGATGCAATCCAAACATTGAGCGAGTATGTATCTGACCGGGTTAGAGCGGTTTAGGAATTTCTGGTTCCAAAACCAGCAGAATCCAACGTAGTTACCTAGTTCGCATCAGTAGAAAATCAGCCAGCGAACGACACAAGACCAAACACAGCGCCACGGCAAGAGAGCCAGCGTACGCTTCACGCAGCAGGACACCAATGCAGGCGTCGACAGGACGCGGGAGCCGAGCGGAGCCAACGAAAGATCTACACAGGTAAGCCCCCCATCTCTCGACTCCATTACAGAAACCCAAATGAGTGAGGACAGCTTTGTGAGCCTCAATTCCGAGGAAAGACATTCCAAGGGAGACTTTGAGATTCGGCCCCTACACTTCCCGACGGAGGGAGAATACCGTCCAACGCCACTTCAGTACGAAGACGAAGTCTTATTCAAGGGCATTAAGGACACAAAACCAACAGGGTCAGATGAGAGCTTTAACCTCGGGGACAACAGAACAGCACCACCTACTCTCCTCGAGCAACAGACCCTCAATTCCCCCCCCGAACGTGATATCACGTCAGACATCACCCATGGATAACAAAGGCACACCGAGGACAGGAACAATAAGGCACACTAACTACTGGGACTTCGGGACCTCAGCCACCATGTCCAGCAATGGTCAGCAGATACAAGCAGTAAACAGTCCAACTCCCCACATCACAGACAACCCTAACAGCCACATGGATACACTGATCATTCAGAAGGCATTAGACCTAGCGCACCACACGATGGAGAACCTTAGAGTTTTCATACAAGCAAAATGGGACACAGCCGAAGCTTTTATTAAACAAAATCCACAACTTGGATTACTACACCAATACACTGTGGAGGAAGAGCTCCAACGCCTCTCGGAACAACTGAAGCCGGATGCCGAGAACCTACTACAAGCTTATGGCATAGACACTGGTACCATAGGCAATACAATTACATCCCCGCCGAAGGACGCAACGTTCTCGCAACCCCAACCTGCACACAACACAATCAAAGCCACCCTCAGCATGAACACACTACAGCAGCTACAGGAGCAAATCACACATGAAGAGAAACATACCCTCATTGGATACTTGAAGAAGAACCCCGGCCCGAGGATACTTCATGAATGGGCCACTCAGCTACTCCATAATTCATACTCCTCGATAACGATGCTAGGAGGAGGATACTTCGAGGTACACTTCACACGTGACCAAGGCAAAACGCACACGCTAACTAAACAGTAAAAATTCAACAACCAAGACATTCTCTTCTCTACGTGGAAAGCGGATTTCGACCCTGAAGCCGCATCAGCTTCCCAACAAGTCACTTACCCAATATGGGCCCAACTGCGAGGACTACAACGCTTACTACGCACACCACAACTTCTCAAGGAGGCATTTAGTAGCATCGGCGAGGTGATCGCAATCGACCCCTCTGAAACTTACGGAAGTAAAGTTTCAGGTCCTCGTGTACGGATACTGGTGGACGACATCTCAAAAACTTCCACAATCAATGATCCTACCCAACTTCTTAGGTGGCGAGAAAGAATACATCATCGAATACAGTGGTCTGCCAAACCAATGTAACAGATGTCGCAGCACCTCACATCATGCCAAGAACTGTCCACTAAGCAGAAGCAAAGAAGGGAAGAGACCACGAAGCAAACCTACACACTCAGAAAGCTCCAACGAGATCAACCCAACACCCGATCGGGAAACTTCAAAGACCAGCGGGTCAGACCCCAGTAAGAGACCCAACCCCCGACCCAGAGACAGCAATTCGTCTGGGTAGAAAAGAAATAACCGGAACGCACCCATGAGTCGGTACAACCTGTAACACTCAAAGGACCAATCTCATACGACTCTCCACTAATACACCCCAAGTTTTGGCAAGCATTGAAGCTTCAACAACCACACGGCAGTATCTCGCAAGGACACATCACCCCGGTGCTGGTACGAATCGCTCCAGATCTCTCTATGGAAACACTGGTGCACAAGCATAATGACTCTCCCCTTTGCAAACTACAACTGCATCAAGTGCTCAACGAAACCACCTGGTCCAAAACCTCTGCACGAACACATATGGTTAATACCACAATGCAAGGACTCCGAACGGTGATTACCAATATGAACAACGGACCAAACCTATCGAGACAATGGACAGACGTAATCTGGTTATCGGACTGGAAAACAACAGAAACTCTTCCTGTATGCGACTGGATAGTTATCATTCCCTTTGATGACCAACGCACCCAGATCAAACCGACCAATAGTGTCTACTGGAAAACACATTTCCCCTCCGAAAACCCCCAGGCCCCCATACTAGAGCGGTTACAAGCATCAACTCATTCAGACTGGTCCTCAGTATTCGGCACCCAACAGGTGGAACCCACCAAGACAACATTCCTGGCCCCCCTAGCCCACTTTGAGCAACGACTGGGGTCGGACAACCCTCCATCAACCCATGAATGACGGCATAACGGTGGCCTCATTCAACGTCCAGTGCTTGGGAAAAGGACTGGCAGGCGTTAGAAAACGTCGCGAACTACGGGACCTTATGCAAAACATACACCCCAGACCGGATGTTCTACTACTACAAGAACACAGATTTACACACAACGACTGCTTAGAAAGATCATCACAACTAGAATTTATGAAAGACCCACTACTTTGGAACGCTGCGGTCTACTCCGCAACGAACGACAGCCTTGCAGGAGGGACGGCGATCTTAACCTCTTCCAAACTTGCACCTTTGATACAAGAACACGGTGTAATTGTCCGAGGCCAAGCCCAATACGCAGTCTTTGAATTCACCCCCACAATGCGAATTGGAATCATCAATGTCTATGGATATAACCATACTGGACCAAGAGCTCGATTGTGGCAAAAAATCACAGATTACCCCCTCCCACCGGCTCTATGGATCATGGGAGGCGACTTGAATTTTATCGAATCCCTCGAAGACAAACAGGGAGGTAACAACAACCTTGGACGAGGGCGCAGAGAGGTTGAATCCTGGAACAACCTCCTCATCCGATTACAACTCCAGTACTCATTCCATATGGACGAATTCCACAAAATAAACGCCAAATCCTTCACTTGGGATAATAGAGGACTAGCACCCAAAACGGTGCTCATTCGACTAGATCGGTTCTACATTTGCGACAAGTTACAGGACCGGGGGGGCATGATTGGGATCTAGCCTACACAACCCATCATCTCAGACCACGCCCCGGTATTCATTAAACTGAAACCTCCTCACCACCCCCTTCCCCGAACCCAATTCTTTGACAAACGCCAACTAGACTCCCCAACCAATAGAAAACTCCTCATCGAAGCGTGGCAACAAGCAATAGCGCAATCCGCATCGCAATCATGGTGTGATCGCATACAGATTGCCCTAACAGCAGTCCGAACCAAAAACACTGAAATCGCCAAGAAAGGACGGGACACATGGAAACAGCAATACCAAACTCAACTATCACAAATTCTTGAAGCCGAAATACTCCTACAAAAGAACTGGAACGATCCAAACGCTCGGGAGAAACTCAATTCAGCCCAAACTCACGATCAACAGATAAGAAACAAGAGGCTTGAAAAACAGTTCACCTCCGTATCCGCCAGGTGGACCCGAGTAGGTGACCGATGCAATGCTGATTTCTTCCACCATTATGGCGCGAAACATAAATAGACCCGAATCAGGGAATTCAATGCAGGCGGGAGAATACTTACAAAGCAACGAGACATGGCCTCATATGCTCAGGAGTACTATCAAAAACTTTTCACCCGAGATAGAGAGATAGAAATGAACTCCGCCGCCAGGCTGCTATGCCTCTCCAGTATGCCCAAACTGGTCACCCACACCCGAAACATGGACTTAGATAAAGAGATCACAGCAGAGGGGGTTAAAACAGCGGTGAAAGATCTACCAAAGGGAAAGGCACCTGGGATCGATATAATCCCCGCCGAGTTCTTTCAGACATGCTGGGAAGACATAGGACCAGACCTGGTAGAATTTATCAAAGAGGTCCTTTCACAGGGCCGCCTGCCGAGAAAATTGAATACAAGCAATATTGTCCTCCTCCCAAAAACAGGAACTATAGACCTATTTCTCTCCTCAACACAATATACAAGATAATAGCAAAAGTCCTAGCTAATAGACTGGCCCCAAACCTACCTAGATGGATTCAAAAACTCCCAAACAGGGTTTGTAAAGGGCAGAGGCATATATGACAATTCTTCCTTGCCAATGAAGCAATGACCTGGGCAGAAGATAGCAACCAAGATCTAGCGTTAATATTATTGGACTTCGAGAAGGCCTATGATCGAATTAGCTGGACTTTCCTTCAAGCAGCACTGAAAGAAGTCGGTTTCTCAGATAATTGGATCAAATGGATCATGGCACTGCACACGGAAGCTGAAGCACTAATCACTATCAATGGGGAACAAGGCACACCATTCAGGTTAGAAAGATCTGGATGCCAAGGTTGCCCCCTAGCACCATACCTATTCCTCTTCGCAGCTGATGCTTTAGGCTACATGCTTGACGATTACAAACACAAGGTAGAAGGACTTATTTCACCAGACACATCACGCCATACTACCTCAATGTTTGCGGACGATACCTCACTATTCCTAAAAGGTGACTGTGAAAACTTGAACAACACAATGAAGGTACTGGATATAAACTGCAAGGCATCAGGGGCAAAAATCAACTGGAATAAAACCTCAGTAATATAGGCCTCCACAAGACCACGCAACACTGAATAGAGACTCTAGTACAAAATCAACTGGGTAACACCTGGCTCCTCGGTCCGTTATCTCAATTTCCCAATCAGCTTCGGCACACCCCCAACAGAGAATGGAGCAAAAGCACTACGCCAAATCACAACACAACTAATCAAATGGAGCCCAAAGCAACAATCGCTAGCCGGAAGGGCTATGATCATCAATCAAGTAATTCTTGCATCAGTCTCGTACATAGCATCTTGCGCCAATATAGAAACCAAAATCTTCAACTAAATCAGAGCACTAGTGAGAAACTACCTTTGGCCAGGAATAATTGTAGGCACCATGCGCGCCAAGGTCCAGTGGAACACCACTATTCAACCCATTACACATAGGAGGCTCAAAGTTTTTGATCCCGAGCTCCAAGCACGAGCGATACTAGGTAAACTAATTGCACGAGGTATAGCACCAGGAGCAGAGCCTTGGAAGGTGCTACTGCGACACAGAGCCTCAGAAATACAATACCGCCGAGGAAGACTCTAGTACACCAGCCCTCATTGGATTGTGGGGACTAAACTCCCGATCCAGAAGCAAGGCTCTCCACTCTGGATCACAGCGAGACACGCATGGCAAGAACTCCAAACCAGCCTAGAACAATGCCCACCACGTCATAGAGATGAAATATTGCGACAACCCTGATTCAACAAGCTCCTCATCAAAGCACCAAATGATAAAATGTGGGGTCATAACATGACCGACCAATACATACTTTGGGCCAGACGTGGAATCCGCACTTGTGGCGACCTTTGGAACACAAACAAACAAGACTGACTCAACACCATAGCTCTCTCACATATCATAGGCAGAAGGCGAGTGAACATCCAATGCTCACAAATCCTAGCCAGCATTCTTTGGCACCCCGGCAAGGCACAAAACTATACAGCCACCGAATGGTGGACACCTAACATCGACGGATCCATTATGGAAATATTCCACATCTTAACATAACAAATGGGGTATTGCAGGGAGACAAGTATATTGTCACAAAATCCGAAGAACTACAACTAGTGGATACCGGACCAATTCACTTAGGCGACAGGGAGGTCAAACGAGTTAGGGTGATATCATGAAGGGGCTCAACATGAACATTTGGCGCCTTCAACCCTCTGATCCGTCCCACCGGAGACACCACAATATGGCTCGCTGGCACCACACCAATCCAACAGCTTCCCCTTGATCCAGCCGATTGGCAATGGAAACGCCAGGGAGCGTTATCACAGACCAGCTTACTCAATTTTACCACGAAACGGAGTTATAGAGAACAAAGTCAATCCAAAGCCGTTCCCCCAAAAGGCGAAGCTATTTTCAAAGCACACAACTTTGGAACCCAAGCCAAAACATAGTTTTATGCCACCCTCTGGCATCCATGGATCCCCAAAAAAGTATCAGCTATGAGATGGTTAGTACTTGCAAGAGGTATTCAGTAGGAGCGTGGAGACAAGTAATGCAGAAGGACGGCCAATGCTCCCTTTGCAACAACGACACCATAGAAACAATACTCCATACCTTCTGGGAGTGTCCACACATCACCACAGCATGGCAAAGATACAATGCGCTCCGACAGACCACACATCTCTCGTAACTCAAAAGTTGGAGCGACGTCCTCTATGGCCCATTCAACCCTGCTCTTCACCCAATGACGAGCCTCACAACCTCAGTTAAGGTCTCCTCAGACACTCCATGGCTCATACTGACATTCTAAATATTGTGGTACATTTGGGTCAGCAAATGCGCGTTTGATAGAGATCGCGCACTCTATCACATAGGGCTCGTATTATGTAAAGCTTGGACGATGACAATCCATATAGGAATGAAAGCATGGAGGAATATACACCGACACAATTGCACCCCCGAAACCCAGACAATAAAGATAAAAATATTTACACAACTTTGGATCGTGAGCAACATATTCTCATCAAGGACCACCAATGACCTCACCCGGCACCTTGTTCCACCTCCAGCCCTGCTTCCTAAAGATCTTGTGAGACACCCTCATGTATCAATAACTCGACGGCCAACTCCAACCACCCCAGATCATCAATCCTCATCTTCTTCTGACAATACCTTCAAAACAACTGCAATTCTACGAACTTCAACCCACACAGCAACGCCCACCAATGAGGAGCTAAACCTCGAGATCCAGCAGCTGTTTGAAGAAATTGAACAGGAAGGGCGCAATCAAAACGGTCAACAGATCAACTCACACTCCCATCCACCTGAGGCCACCCTCTCCCTAGGACAGCAACTCATATACTATGCTCGACATCACCAAACAGCGACAGCACCAGATCTGCAACTCTCCATTTACGCGACCATGGCGTACACCGACATAACGGACGAAGACCTGTTTTGCTTAATCGATAGCGGTTATGGCAATAGGCAAGGCTGGAAGAAGAGGTTAGAACTTCCAGATACCCATAGCACAGATACACGCCAGAACGGACCACAATCCGATGAAGACATTACATATTAAGCAAGCTAACAACAGCGCAGTAACCAAACTCTCCTTCGTAGACACAGGTCCTCGAAAGGAAAACGGACTACACAAAGGGCACCAGCCGTTTGATCTGCGCCTTTGTGCGTTATTTTAACCTTAGTATTTCAACCTCGGAGGAAAATTCTGCTCGGATGGTAGAGCGCTAAATTTGCAGCGGGAGGTGCGGGGATCGACACCCCGCATCTCCACACGTGGTCTTTTCTATCGACTTGATTTGTTTTGATTTGGTGTTGTGACAAGATTGTATTGCTTGAAGCCCTCGCGCTTCAATTTTGATTTTGAGATGATCTGTCAATTGAATTGGAAACATGAGAGAAATCATGAGTAAATTAGATTCATATGTCACATAAATTTCAATGAGATGATCCACTTTTCGAGGTTTGTAAAATTTCTTGTACACTTCTCAACGGACAACTGGATATGCTACAAATGAGAGTAACAGGAACATTGTATTACAAAATTTATTTTTCTACTACAGAAATGTTGACTGTGGGCGAAATTGTGATTCAAAATTGTGATTCAAAATTGTGATGCAAAATTGATACAAGCCAGTACATTCCATTGTGTACAGCAAATCGGGCTCGCCTTTATAGCTCAGTGGTAGAGGCAGATGGTTAGAGAGCCCTTAGAGAGGAAGCAGAGTGGCGGCTCCGTGAAAACCGGAGCCGCAGAGTGGCGCAAATCCGCTTTTTCAGGACCATCATTCCTCTTACGATTTGAGCATTAGTGTAGCCTTGTAGCAGTCCGATTAGTTCTTAAATTCCCGAGGGGAACTGAATGCATCATCTAGATCTGAATTGCGAGTGTAATGAATTTTTCATTTTTTGGAATGGTTGTAACTAGATCTCAGAGGATATCAGACAAGACTAGAGCGTCTTTAGAGACTAACAATTGTTTGCCTTTAATTTCAGCAGAGACCACCGTAGTAAGGTTCAACACAATCAGGATTAGTGAGAGAGTAGAGTCACAAAACCATAGAACGGCACTACCTAGTACATCAGTAAACCACAAAATAGACAATGAGCAGATTCAAGAGCAAAACAATTAAGCACGAGCAACAGCAAGAGAGGTGCTAGGGGAGGTGGACACCATAAAGCGAAATGGAGGTGACCAAACACAACATGAAGATACAAACTGCTAGGTAAGTTCACCTCAACTCCTCGTGGAATGCAACAATAGCGAGGAGAGCTTCAGCAGTCTGGAAACATCAGCCAAAGTTTCAATGGGCAATTTTCAACTACAAATGCTGTACTTCTCGGACTCCAAGAACTCTGATGATACCGTCACACAACGACTCAAATTGTTCCATAAAGATTTAACAAGACCACATATCATTGAGCGAGGAATTCACAACCAGCGCAAATTACAGCTTAAGGTAGTACACATACAGCAAGGAACCTAGAGGACAGTCCCCGATACACCATAGACGACAATCTGATAGTGGACCAGCTCTAGTCTCCCACCCACTAGCCTGAGGGAACGAAATCATAGATGAAAGACCGAGAACAACAGAGTCTCACCACACCAACCCTAAACCACAATCCATCCCTCACTCCTATTACTGAGGCCCTAGAAGACCTTGATCTCAACCGAGAGAAGACGGCACAACTATTTACAACACAACTACTACAAAACATCAAACAGCTACTACAAAAGCGCTTGACAGAAACCGATGACTACATTAAACAAAACCTGCACTTGGACTTAACACACAAGGCTACGGTAGATGAGGAACTGAGAGCTACAGTCAATAAGCTGAAACCCAATGCAAAAACCCTAATAGAGGCATGTGGAATCACCCCCAATACACTAGGAGGCACCCTAACAGCTTCTCAAGGTGTAAAGACAATCAAGCTCTCGAACTCCACATTAGAAGCCCTCTAGGAAGAAGTCACGAAGATGCAAACTTGCACCATAATCGGTCATGTTCGACGTAACCCACGACCAAGAGTGCTTCAAGAATAGGCACATCATGCTCTCCACAAATCCTTCCATTCCCTCACTATGCTGGGCAGAGACTTCTTCGAAATAATTTTTGAGGAAGAAGAGGGCAGAAATAACGTCCTAGCCAGAACACACCGGATGCACCAATCGGAAATCTTCCTTGCTCCATGGAGACCAGACTTCAATTACTGGGACAAAGTAGCCGGACCAAAAGTGAGTATCCTGGTCCACAATATCAACATTTTACCATCTAAGTTCAATATCTTGACAAGCCTCACAACAAACCTCTGACACAGGCAAATCCCACCAAGGACAGTGAATTCGACAATGTAAACAACAGATAATCAATACCAGAATGGTGTGGCAAGAAAAAAAAAGGAACAGTCGGGCCTGGCCGATCAGAGGCACTATAGGGGACAATAAGCTATAACACCTTGGAATTACAAAAAACGTTTGGACAACACTAGGCGCCCCAGAAGAAGACCCAACACCAACATCAGGGCAAATCACTCCAGTTTTCATAAGGAAAACACAAGATCAACATATAGAGATCCTCATGGAATTAAACTATGGACTTGAAATTCATCTCTGTAACATTGGCATCCATCAAATCGTAGGGGAAACTACTTGGACCACAGCAGGAGCCCGATTCCACATGACCAACTTAGCCATGCATCCCTTCGTAGAAAAATCATAAACAAGAACAGTGGCCATAATCTCCTTAGACAATGGATAGATGCCATATGGATATCAAATCCAAAAGGAAATGAAATAGGAAAGCACATGAACTAGTATACACTCATTCCACTTGGTGAAGCTACCACAAAGATAAAGAGACCCCAACATACATACTGAAAAACAACCCCAGTGAAGAGCGTGGGAGATCCAACGAATCCACTCCTTCATAGACTAGACACTACCTTATTGGACAATTAGAGAGCTCACCTCGATCAACTCCAACCTCCACCTGTAGTACCAACCAAGGAGCCACCCAGCCTTGGCCCTACAACACTCTTCGAGTCGTTATTGGGAGCCTGGCAAGCACCCCAGACATCCACAGATGTATGACCCATTAACAATCGCAACATATAATATCTAGTGCCTCGGCAGAGGACTAGACGGCGTATATAAATCCCGAGAGATCAGAGATCTTCTTCTTAGTATCCAACCACAATCGGACATCATTGCATTATAAGAAAGAGGATTAATCCAAGCACAATCTTGACAGAACCAAACACTTGAACTTCTTCAAAGGTGCAATACACTGAAACGAAGGGGGACTACTCTGCACAAGAGGACAATTATGCAGGAGGTACTGCCATCATTACCTTTGGAAAAATAACAAATTTAGTATGCGAACATAGCATGATAGTGCGGGGACTTACCTAACATACTTCAACTCGGCCTTTGAGAAGATCAAAATTCTGAACATCTACGGCTACAGCTATATTGGCCCTCTAGCAAGTTTGTGGCAAAAGATTGTAGACTTTTCCCTCCTGGAGGCTAAATGGATCATACTTAGGGACTTCAATTTTATAGATCTTTTTGATAAGTTGGGAGAATATCCCACGGGGGGCAAATGAACATGAGAGAATGAAGCATGGACTTCTCTTTTGATCCAACTAGGACTTCACGACACCTACAAGATGGGCGAATTTAGACGTATGAGCCCAAAACAATACTTTTGAGCCAATAAACATCCACACCTATATATGATAACCACCCGAATTGACTGCATATATGTCACTCTAGAACTACGAGAACGGGGAGGAATGGTTGGAATATGGCTAGTCTAAACTTCCATCTATGACCACTCCTTCTCCTTCCTAAAATTCAAAAGTAAAGGACTGCTACTCCCTTGAATCCCTTGTTTTGACAGACGATAATTACACAGCGAGGACGACAGACTCCAACTCACCTGGACATGGACTAATGTAATAAACCCACATCGAGAGGACTCATAGGCAAGTAAAATCACAGCAGCGCTTAAGGCAGTCCATGAATGCAACACTCAGGAAATGACCAAAAGACGTCAAGCATGGAGAGCCACGTGCAAGCAGCAAATTGCAGAAATCTAGGTTGCGGAACTACACCTCCAACACAACTAGAACAATCAGGCAGCATGTGAAGCCCTCAGCATTGCACAAACAAAACTGCAAGGAATTTTTCAAGCCCAATTAACTAAACAATTTGATTTTGTCGTAGCCAAATAGACCCGAGTCGAGGATCAGTGCAATGCTGAATTTTTCAATCACTTCACCAAAAAACACAAGCGAGTCCAAATTCGAGAATTCAGCAACGGGAAGATTTTCACAAGACAACCGGATATGGCTGTGCTGAGCGTATTGGACTCACAGGACAACTGAATACGCTCAGCACTGCTATCAGGCTCTTTACAGCTGAGGCAATATAGTAAAAAATAACATGATCGTCCAGGCGGAATGCCTTGCAAGCGTCTTTTGAAGGGTCACACTTGGACAAAATCGAGAACTAGAAAGTCTAATAAAGGCATAGGAGCTAACAATTGCAATTAAAGGCCTCTCGACAGGAAAAGCCCCTGTCCTAGATTTAATTCCAACAGATTTTTTCGAACTTTGTTGGCCGGAAATTCAAGGGGACATGCTAGAAGTAGTAAAAGAGGTCATGGTCAACTGCATATTATTGAAGGCCCTCAACACCAGCTGCATTATATCAGTACCAAAAACTGGAGACCAAGTGCTAATCACGAATTATTGACCCATATCACTATTAAGAACAATATACAAACTCATCGCAAAAAACTCTTGCCAAGCAACTACTCCAACATCTCTCACACTGGATTTGAAAGTTACAAATTGGTTTCGTCATTGGCCAGAGTATTTTCGACAATATCTACTTCACATTCAAAGTTATGGAGTGGGTGGAGGAGAGTAACCAAGACTTGGTTCTAATGCTGTTAGATTTCAAAAAAACCTATGACTGTATAAGCTGGGGCTTCCTCGAAACCACTCTTGCCCCCATCAGTTTTTCTACCACGTGGATCAGAATGGTCATGGCTCTCAACTAAGAGACAGTAGCCACTATTACGATAAACGGACAAAACGGTCGAACCTTCAACCTTCAGCAATCGATACGCCAGAGATGCCTCCTAGCGCTGTACTTGATTTCTTTTGCCGCGGATGTATTAGGCTACATGCTTGACGACCCAAAGCACAAGATTCAGGAATTTAGGCTACTAGACTATTCCATGCTAAACCACCATATGTTTATGGATGACATCGCTACTTAGCTGGAACTCCAAAAAATTTAACAAACGCAATGCAAATACTCACCACATACTGCAAAGTATTTTGCGCAAAAGCCAACTGGTACAAAACTTGTTTAATCTGGGTCTCTCCAAACAAACAATCATGGTGTTAGAAAGAAGACTTCAACCTGATGTGAAAACCAACAAGACAATCGGCTAAATATTTAGGATTCTTACTACCAGATGAAGAGCATGGCAACAAAGTTTTGCAATAAATCACAAAACAACTAGTAAAGTGGGGGCCAAAAAAACTTTTACTAGCCGAACTACTATTAGTTATCAACCAGGTAATTTTTGAGTCAATGTGGTAACTAGTATCATGAACCAGTATCGAGGACAAAACCTTCATCCAAGTACTTGCATTTGTCCACAATTACCATTAGAAAGGCATTATAAGTGGCACAACAAGAGCTAAAGTCAAATAAAAAATAATTATCCAACCAATTGCCAAAGGAGGACTCAAGATATTCGATTCTATGACTCAAGCTAAAGCCCTCATAGCCAAGCTCATAGTACATGGATTCACCTCAAAACTAGAATCTTAGAAAATTCTAATTTGATGTTGAATGGATACAACAAGATACACTACATATGGCACATGGCACTTCAACAAACATGAATTAGTAGGGAGCAACTTATTAATAATATCTAAGGCTTGCAACTTTGGCGTAGTGTAATTGCAGCCTAGCGCAATATTGAGCATGGGTTCACTATTTGTTGTCATACCAAATTTTAGAGATGAGATCTTTAACCAACAATTTTGCGATAACTTCCAATTAATAGATGTAGAGCAAAAGATATGGGATCAAGACAAAGACAACAAATTCATTCAATGGTACTACAAAGGAGTCTATGCATTACTTGACATCTAAGATGTGAACAAAAGAAATTGGTATTTAACTACTCGCCTTTCACAAAAAACAAGAAGTCATAAAATAAAACTCCAATACTACCAACTACTCAATAATACTTGATGATACTTCAACAATGTCTAACCATATTCTCTATGAGATTGATGGACAATAGATATCGGAGGTACAATCATTAAAGTATTCTACATAGAAAGCTTTGACAATAAAGTCTTCACAAGCATCAAATCCATTGTGCTATCTTTTGATGAATTCAATCTAGTATATGAAGGATCTCTGTAAATAGGAATTGAGGAACTACAACAACTATATGTAATAATAAAAAATAAGAAACAATATTACATTGGTTTCAACCATAACAATTCAATGTAATGAACACAAACATCATAGCTTATAAGACCTCGTCCAATCCAAGCATTAGCTTTTGATGCAATGGAATAGAAATAGAAGAAGAAAAGAAACCAATAACCATTTCTCATATACAAGTATACAATGCAACAAGGATATTAATTAAGAATTAACAACAAAACTATTTCATTCAAAAGTGATAACATTTTGTAAGCCTCTAATTTTGAGGACTCATAATACTGATAATTCTATAATAGTTTTTAGTACTTTTAGCTTCCCTATAAAATAGTAACAATGAGATGGCTTATAATTATAGAGAAACTTTTAATAAGCTACTAATAATAGATTATATAAATAGATCCAACTAACAAGCTCAGCAACAAAGATAAGTTAGAAATAATTTAGTACAAAATTTGGAACTACAAGGCTATATTTTTTATATGGAATCAATACAATATACTAAGAAGGTTGTCACAACTAATGAAATGGGACTAAATTCTCTTAAAGATCTAAAATCCTTTTAGTCTATAGCAACATAAATTCCATCACAAAGTAGAAAAAAGTAGACCACAACAAAACTAAACAAAATTAAACAAAATAGAATATAAAAGATAAAATAAAGTAAAAGAATATAGAACAAAACAGAACAAAAAATGTAAACCAAATTTTATTAAAAAAAAAAAGACTAAAGCCATATCTAACCAAATGTTCTAAATGGCCTCAGTCAATTTTATTTATACTTTGTCCAATGATCTTTGAACTTTTTAGAATGTTCTTAATAATAGGTCCTATTAAGATAGTGATGCTTCAAAATTCTGTCTACTTCATATTCTTGTTGCTCATCAATCACAATTAGTAGTAGTAGTAGTTGATGTCAATTTGAGAAGTCCCTTATTTCAGTAAGAGAATCCTTAAGCTGTAAAATATGGAAGATCAAATGGACATGAATATATGGCAGAAGTTTAAGGTTGTATGCAACATCAAAAATCACTATAAAAATACAAAAAGGTTTAAGCCACTAAGATGTCAGCTTATGGACTTAGGTTGATATAGCAAATAGAAAGTTGACATTGGAGAGTAATATTTGATCACCTTCCTAGAAGGTCTTATGTTACTGGTGGTTATCTGCATATTACTTCTATTAATTATGTGCAATAAAGATGCAGTGCCATTGTCAAGGACAAGAACTCGATGAAAAAGTAATTCAGATAAGTGAGCCTTCACTCAAAGAAAGGTAACAAAATATAAATAAATAAGTATGTATATTGAAAGAGAAACTGGAATAGCTATTGCCAAAAGACAACAAAACTAGAGACCCTTGAAACTAGGCTAAAAGCAAGAAAGGAGTTGACAAGAGTGAAGAAGGCTTCACTCTTGTTTCTATATATACTATCTAACTAGGGGCTACATGGTGAAATTCTATAGGACCTCCAATATGTGTTGACTTTGTAGGATACATGCCTTGACTTATAAGGCAAGTTTTTCTACATGTAGGCCACATAATTAGCTTGATCTTCAAGCTAACAACATGTGTGGTACATGGCCAACTTATTGATCACGTTTCTAATCCAAAAAGTCAATTAAAGACACCTATGAAGTCAAAGTAGCGTCTATGAAGCTTCTAGAAAGCTTTCATATTAAATACTATTGAATTAACTTACTTTTACATACTTTTATTTACTTCCACCTATTTTTATATGTAATTACTAGCTTACATGAGTATCTCCGTGACATTATCCCCCCTTCTAGGAACGAGTTCCATGAGGAGCGGTCATCATATGTTGAGAAAATCTATGATGTGACGAATTATATTCGCCACATACTCTGATCTTTGTTCTCTTCGAAGATGATTGATAGGGCCTCTTAACCATTGGTAGTGTCCTATACCAGGGCGGGAAGACCACCCAGTTATTTGATCATTGTTGAGGCCTTCATAACTTCCTTCGAATAGAACATTTGAAACACCATCAGGAGTTATTCCTACTTCTAACAAAATCACCAAACATCGGGAGTCTCTTCCCAAATGGAGATACCAAACGCATTATATCTTGCGATCTATTCGAGGAAGAATATGTCGTTCTTGAAGATCTTCATCTCGATTGCGTCGTCTTAAAGGTTGTGACAATCGTAATGTCTTGTCCGACAGGTCAACAAATAAAGGCTCTTGAGTCAAATCCGCTAGTTGTTGATTCTCCATCTCCTGAGCGTCACAACTACAAAGAAGCTATAAACAAGGATTGAAAGTAGAATGTTATCTTGCCTAGATGTTGTTTCTTTTATAAAGAAGATTTTCATCTTGATTTTGATGGATGTCATCAATAAAAAGCCTCCACCACCTTTGCTGCATTTGCAAGATTCTTTATTGGCTCCCATGTGCATTCACTAATATCATATCCGTGCCAATGGACAAGATATTCTAATTTATTTCGGAAGTGCCTTGAATCTAAGACTTCTTCTACTTCAAATTCTTCATTATTGTCCACTTCTATAGGAGGAGGTGGAACTTGTCGTCTTCTTGATATGTCCACTGTCTTGTATGGTTCAAGAAGAGACATGTGGAATATTGGATGGATTTTCATTGACTCCGGTAGATGTAAATGATATACAACTGGATTGATTTGTGCAGAAATAGGAAATGGTTCAAGTCTTCGATAGTCCAATTTGTCACAAGGATGAGTGGTCTTGATATTGTGATGAAGTAGTCATACCTTATCACCCAAGAGGAATGGTGGTTGTTCCTTTCGATAGACATCCGCATTGACCTTTTGTTGTTCTTGAACCTCTTTTAACTGTGCCTTCATCATTGCATGTAGCTCTAATAAATGAGTTGTCAAATCTTTCGCAATAGGATTATCAACTTTTGAAAAGTCAAAAATATCAAGTCGTGGATGATAACCATAATTAGCAAAGAAAGATGTTTGTTTTGTAGAAGAATGTACCATGTTATTGTGAGCAAACTCTGCCAATGGCAAAAGAGTTTTCTAATCATCTTGTTGGTAGTTAATGGTACATCTTAAATATTGCTCCAAAACTTGATTAACACGCTCCGTTTGTCCATGAGTTTGAAGATGGAATGTTGAAGATAGTTTTATATCCACTTTTAGAATCTTGAAAAGAGTCCGCTAAAATCTTGATACAAATTGAATTCTCATATCTAATATAATATCCTTGGATAATCCATGATAGTGATAGATATTGTCAAGAAAGAGCTTAGCTGTTTCTTCACCTATGATAGATTTTCTATATGGTATAAAATGTGCCATCTTGGTAAAA